CCTGCGGTCCCCAACCCGCAGGTGCGGAAATACCAGAAGCAGCAAAGTTCAGCAGCTGTAATATACCTCAAAACTTCTCGTCAACCATCCGAAATCATCTCGAGGCCTCCGGGACCTCAACCAAAGGCACCAACAAGTCTAATACCACTATCCAAACTTGTACCAATCCTTAAAACGCCTAAAACAACATCGAAACCTCAAATTAACCATGGATTCAAGCCTAAGAACTCCAAATTTCTCAAAATACGCTTTCGTTCAAAAGTCTATCAAATCTCGACCGAATGACCTGAAATTTTGCACACACGTCACATTCAACACTATGAAGCTATTCCAACTTTCGGAATTCCATTCCAACCCTCGGATCAAAATCTCACTATCGAATCGGAAACTTCAAAAATCAAACCTCCGGCATTTCAAGCCTAAATTAGCTACGGACCTCCAAAACACAATCCGACCACGCCCCTAAACCCGAAATCACCCAACGGAGCTAACGGAACCATCGGATTTTCATTCCGAGGCCGTCTTCACACTGTTCGGACTACAGTCAACTTTCCAACACTTAAGCTCTCATTTAGGGACTAAGTGTCTCAAAACTCTCCGAAATTCAAAACCAACCATCCCGGCAATTCAAAATGGCAGAAATGAACTTGGGGAAAGCAGTTAATAGGGGATCGGGGCGTAATTTCTAAAAACGACCGGCCGGGTCGTTACATCAATCCTAGTTAAGGATAATTAATTCTTGATCTGAGATGGATAACATGAATAGAAAAATATAGTTGAGTACAAACATTGGCAGTAGTTATGGCTGGATCTAATAGTATGAAAAAGACCATGCATTAAATAACATTAATGGCGATAAAATGTAAATAAAGGAGAAGATTCACCTAATCTTGAGTGAGGCGGATCCTCATTCATTTGATAAAGATGAATGATAGACAAATACAAGAATCTTAGGACTCTTTTCGGATCTGATGGGGAGTGTGAAATAACAGATCATCTAATCTCTTTAGAGAGATGTGTTTTTATTTTTTCTAGAGATAGAGAGTCTGCCTTTTCCTTAGAGAAGTCCTATCTTCCTATTTATAAGGGATAATATTCGGTAGAATATTCCCTTTGAAGATTCCAAAGCAACACTAGTCGTTATATGTATCTGTACTGCTTGACCTCGGCCTTGTTGATGATCACTGCTCGACCCCGACCTTATTGATCAATGCTCGACCTCGGCCTTATTGATCACTGCTCGACCTCGGCTAGACAGTTTAATTCGATACGCATGTTACTCATGACAATTGTCTCCGCACATCGAATTTCTCTGATTTAATTTTGACTCATACAGTTATACCTTAAAATTTTGCATTTGATAAGTTTCCATTAGAAAGGGGAAAAAAAAGCAAGAGAATGAAAGGGAGAAGGTGCACATTTAGGGTCAGAACCTTTTCAGTTTTACAATGTCCTGTTTCACCAACAAGGTTCTCACGGGTACTTGTGTGCATGTGAAAATTTTCACCTAATTTGGTCGGTTTTTAGTCAGTAAGTAGGAATTTTTGCAGTGATAAGTACAAAATACTTGTGGCATACAAACGAAAAACTTGATCTTGAACACAATAAATCAAATGGATTATAACAGAACTATGAAATTAAATTCATAAAGTTAAAACCTTGAATTCGATGCTAATTCAAGGAATAATGGTAAGGTGCAAGCTTTCTTCTCATAATTTCTTTTATATTTTCACTTTCTTGTTTTAATTATATAGTCTAATTATTATATGGGAGTTACATCTTTTTCCCTTAGTGAGGTAAATAGTTAAGTTTTTTTTTTTTGAATAAAGTAATTTTTTAAATCAATTGTGAGTATAATTCTGTTTCTCTTTTGATTCTTCTTTCCTGATTATCTCCGTGTTTCGAGGGCTGGAGCAACGTGTTTCTCGAACGTAAGATGATGCGGACTTCCTTGAATGTATCTGATATCCATGAAAGTACGTTGTGGAACTTCTTGAAGTATTTGCTTATCAAAAATTATCCGGCCATATCTCAGATGATCTCCATTTCTGAGATGTTAAGACTTCATAAGAAAGCAAAAAAAGGTACCTCGTCCCTTTTGGGTAGTGAAAATTAATTAGTGGTGTCTCATTTCAAAGGAATCTACGACAAGCATTTTGGAATGAAGACACTAAATTGTAGGACATGCATGTTCAAGGTAGGAGAAAAAGCTACAAAATTGTCTACATTTGAACAGTCCACGAGAAAATGAGAAGTGCCAAAATCCAACCATGTGTCAAGCCACACTGTGATGTTAGACTTGCGTCATTAAAAAATATTAATCTTGAGAAATTACTTTCAATTTAACTTTTGAGTATTAAGTTGAGAACAAAAGTAAGTGTGTATGGCTCATCTACAAGGTGAATGATACGGCACAAACACAGTTTGGTGATGCTTTTGTATTATAAATTGATAACAGTGTCTTAATATTAGTTGAATCATGTGATATATATTAAAAGTTGGAATTTTTGTAAATAAAAGATATGCTTTTTAAGAAAAAATTAAAAATTTATCTGCACCTTACAGGCGACCTATTATTAAAAATTAAAAAAATTCTGGTTGGAAAAAGAAAGAACCTGCTTTTGAGGAGAAAAAAAAAAGGAAAAGGCTGAATTTTTTTTAAGGCAACAGGTCTCTGTTTCCATACGACCTATTGTTAAAATTTGCAATTACAAATTACAAAACAAAAGGAAAAGTCTAATGTTTCTGTTGATTTACTTCTAAATTCTTTTGGTTAACATAAACGCCGTCTACATGCCTGCACTAACTAGTTAAAAGTCACTCTCACCAAAATTAAGAAGAAATATAGAAAACAAAACCTCTATATAAATCCAACAGCAAGTGGGGACTCCTTCCCAAAAGAATTTTTTTACACCACTGTATATGTGCTTTAGAGATGTGAAATCAGGATTTAAAATTTATGAGTTCGGGTTTCTAGTCTTTTTTAAAGTTATTAAATTTTAAACTATTAATTCTTACATATTCAAATTTATTAAGATAAATACAGATTACAGAGTATGAACCAAAGATATTGAGTTTGAAGATCCGTAATCAAACTCTAGCTCTGCTACCGGTGCTTTAGCTCCCTCTCCGGTGCATAAGGCATTCCGTATTCACACAGGGTCTAGGGAAGAGCCGCATCCCAAGAAGTATGACGTAGACTGCCTACCTTAATGCAGGCATTAGCGGATATTTCCACAGCTCAAATCGATGACCTATAGGCCATACAAAGACTACTATACCGTTGCTCCAGGGCTCCAATACAATCTAGTGCTTTAGCGTAACAAAGTTTTATCACCACACTTTATATGAGCTTTAACCTAAAACATTCATTGTTCTTATCCTTGAAGATGCTTTTGGGGATCAAAAAGCTAGAACATAGTGCAGAAAGTTACTGAATAATATGCCTTTCAGTTTAGCAACGTAAAATTCTAAACTTAACAGCTGCAGCCATGTTGAATATGATTATATTTTGATTGTATACGTTGAACAATATTAAACTTACGTTCAATCAAAGTATATTGGTGATTCCTAAAGTAAAAAACTTCAAGTCAATCGTAAAAAGCACTATCCCACCAAAGTTGTAATTATTGCTCTTTATCTCATGGTCCCCTCCTTGCATTAATAATTACAATTATCCTTAGTCTTGGTCTTAATTAATTTTATATTCCACACAAATTATTTTATAATGAGTTTAATTTTTATGCACCGACAATATCAAATATATAAAAGAAAGTTTCATGTATAGCTAAATAAAATGTGAGATCAATAACCTATGAGACTTGCGTAAAATATCATTGTTATAACATGTGTAATCACACTGACACTGTAATGATGCTTTACACTGTCAAAATATATATATCTTAAATCTAAAAAATAAAGTTGGCTTGTTAAAATAGATAAAATACACTGTGGAAGTGTAAAATTATTTACAATGTCAGCATACATAAATTAAATTCTTCTATAATTAATTAAATGATGAATCATTTCCTCTATAGTTCAGTATACCCTCTAATCTCTGACACAGAATATCTTCTTTTGCTTTGTAGAACAGATTTGTGGGCGTTTTGGACATAAGAATTGTAAAATTTCGAAAAAAAGTATAAAATAAATTAAAGTAAAAATGGTATTTGAAAGTTATTTGAAACGAAAGATAATAGTAGCAGTAAATCATTGTCCTTCAGTAAACCACTATTTTTGGCTCCTAGGCCTTTAACACATTTTTTAATTATCACCCATTGGAGCCAATTTAAAAGTTAGGTGTGGTGGTGCATTGAAATTACTAGTAATAGTTGAAATATTATGCATAGGAACCATGATAAGAAAAGAAAAAGAAGATGTCAAAATCCCATTTCAGTGTTTGTTTATTGTCCACATGGGGCTACTATTCAGGAAGTACTATAACTTCTACTGTATTCTTTTGAGTTTTGTCCATTATTACTAGGCCATAGCCTCATATTCATACCTTACCAAACTTCTACTCAAAACTCTTGTGTCTGCTTTTGACAATAGAAGTTGCCCTTGAAAGCAACTTGTCATCCCTCTACCAAAGACAACTCACCCAACCAACACCAAGAAAAGTGACTCCCAATGATTTTTGTAAAACTATTGTACACAAATTCTTATGATATCTAGACCAACTTGCCTACACACTAATTTTACTGAATATTTGTTACCTTTCATCGATACAAATATCGAATAATTCTGTTGATCAAGGCTTGAAATGACGGAAAGAAATTATTTACTAATATTTTCATCTTCATTGGATTTTGAACTGAAACCTCATCTCTCATCAGCACAGATACCGAATAATTCTATCTACCAAAGCTTGAATTGATGCAAAGAAATCGTCTACTAATATTTTTTTCGTCTTCGTTGGATTTTGAACAGAAACCTCATGATTTTCACCTCACTTCATTGACCGCTAACTATTTGTAAAGCTGGAAAAAAAAAAAGTGAAATAGTACAAAAACCCCCTTTTTAATTAATATGGGCATACATAATACTACAAGTTAGGCTTATTTGTTACATACATATAATAATAAATTAATGAATCTATGAACAAAAGGGAAAACAAAAGATGACAAAAAGTATTCCAAGCTCCTTTTCTTGATATTGAACTAGACTAGGTCCATACCCACACCACCACCATTGAAGCTATTTTCAGATGAAGAAGTTGAAAGTGTGATCATACCATTCAAGTCAGAAACACTATCTTGCAATGTCATTAGCAGATGAGATGTGCTAAAACTCATTGTTGGCTTAGCTCTAGGGACAATAGGAACTTCAGCCTCACCAACTAACATTTGAACCACACCTCTCATTGTTGGTCTAGCCATAGGATCAGGGTGTGAACAAGCCAAACCAACTAACAAAACCCTTCTCATTTCTTGTTCCTCAAACTCACCATTCAATCTTGAATCAGCTGCTGCTAATAACCTTCCTTCTTTATGTAATCCCCACACCCATTCCACCAAATTACTATTCAATCCAACTTTCCCAACCCCATTTGTTTCTTTCTCAATTGGCCTTCTCCCACTTGCCACTTCAAGAACCACTGCCCCATAGCTAAAAACATCAGTTTTTTCACTTGCTCGACCGGTTAACAAATATTCCGGTGCTAAGTATCCCATTGTTCCTGCTGCTACTGTTGCATCAGGAGATTTATCATGTTCAATTTGTTTTGCTAATCCAAAATCACCTAATCTTGCATTAAACCCTTCATCCAACATAATATTACTAGTCTTAATATCCCTATGAATAACTTGATTTTCACATTCTTGATGTAAATATGCTAAGGCTGAAGCAACACCTAATAAAATTTTCCTCCTGTGTAGCCATGGTAGTACCATTCTTGACTCAAATAATACCTTATCAAGACTACCATTTGGCATCAAATCATAAACTAATAAAATTTCACCTTTCTCATGACACCATCCTTGAAGTCTAACAAGATTTCTATGCCTAAGTGTTCCAATTATTGATAATTCAGATAAAAACTCAGCTTTCCCTTGTCCATTATGACTACACCTTTTCACTGCTACAATATCACCAGTCTCAGACAAAATCCCCTTATAAACTGTCCCAAATGCACCATGTCCGATTATCCTCGTCGAATCAAAACCTTTCGTCGCAATTTTAAGCTCCTTATAGCTGAATTCCTTGGGCATTTTGATAATATCAGACCCCAAATTTTCAGAATTCTTCACATTCTTGAATTTTTTCGAGTACAGCCAAACAAGTAACAATGTAGCAAAAGCTAGAACAAACGCTCCAGCAGTTACAACACCAACAACAGCTCCAGCACCTTGTTTACAAAAACTGTTATGGCATTTGCTACTACTACTTTTTTGCTCTGAATTCACGGTACCATTAGACTGCAAAGGAGCCATCGAAGGCGGCGGCGATGTAACAGAATCCGCCGTGGGATTCATCAAACTAGCCGTTGGCGGCGGAGGAGGCAGCGCCGCCGCCGGAGATTTTGGATTTACATCAAATGATGAACTGAAACTCCACCATTCAATACTATGAATCTCAGTACTCCCTTGTGTTGAACCACAAAACCCCACAAACATAAAATCATTTACATACTCAGAAAGATCAATAGTAGCTGATAAAAATGGTTCTTTGGGCTTTAAATTAGAATATGAAACAAAAATATTCAGCTTTTTGTTAGAACCTGAATATTCAACCCATGAATTTACCAAATCACCACTTTTTAGATCAACACCAACAGAATCAAGATCACCAACTTGAGTTGAAACCATTGAATTTAAATCCAACCCCACATGATTCCCATTAATATCTTTAAATTCAACATCCATAAGTGTATCAAATTCAATAGCAAAATTACCATTTTGGGTCCCTTTTGCATCCATAATTCCCAAATAGCCACCGGAGTCTCCAACCAACTCATCATCCGGCGTGATAACAAAAGCTAAACCACCGCCGATCGATGAAGGATTCAGATTTGTAACAGAAAATGAGAAAAACGTAGAGAAACTCGCCGGAAAATCAAGACCCGGCTGCCGGAATCTTACTGGCTTAGAATATAAAACTTTTCCGGCACCGGAATTTGGCACGGCGAGCTCACGTGTCAATTTGATTTTGTTGTTACCCATATGAGCATCTCCTAATAGCTTTAAACTGCTCAAAGCTAAAGTACCAAAATCAAACTCAGTAGTAGACAGTACGCTGAACCCATTACTAGCCAAGAAACAGAACACTACTATAAGTAATGGGTAAATCTCCATAAAATAAAATCAAAACACAAACTTTCGTATAATTTGTGATTGAATGTAAGTATTAAGAAAGACCCATTAGAGAAAGCAGATCAATTATCTGAAAAAGTGAAGATTTTGAGAATAAAAGAGTGAGAAAAAGGGTGATGAAGTTAAGGAGAAGATAATAATTTGGGCATAGAAAGAGTAAAAAGAGTGAATGGAAAGTAGGAAAATATGCAGAGGAGAGTGAGGAGTACGTAAAAAGGGGATGTGAAAAAAGAAGAGAATCCAAAGAAGAGGAGTGAAAAAGACAGAGAGGATAGCGGTTGAGAGACACGTGTTTGCTATAACGGTAATATTTTTCTTTGTAAAGACACCTTTTTTTCTGCTTATATTTATGTCCTTGTTTAAGACATGGAGGTCCCATGTTGTAGTAATCGGTAGTACTTAGTAATTTGTTCATTAAGGACCGTTTGGTTTGAAGACATAGTATACTGGAATTAGCTAGGTTAGGATTAGTTATACTGAAATTAATTATGCTAGTATTAATTATATATTTATTATTTTTATTGACCGTTTGGTATGTTGTATTGATCCCGAGATTGTCAATGTTATTGCTTTATTCTTAGATAACTTATCCTGGGATTATTTTCATCCTCTGACAGGTATAAGTTATCCCGATACTATTTTTAATTCTAGGGTAACTTATTCCAAGATTAGTAAACAAACAGGGAAGAAGAAAGTGTTAAATTTTTATTTCAAGATTATTTTTGCTTATCCATCACACCAAACGACCCCTAAGAGAGCGTTTGGTAGGATGAATTAGGGTATATACACACACACACACACTTTAGTGCTATTAATTCATTGTTTGGTAATATTTTTTAACTTATGTACAATTAATACACGTATTAGTTATACACCTTATTTTGTACTACCTTTATACATAACAAACCATGGTATTAGCCATACTATGATTTTAAATACATAAATAAGCATATATAAAGACATAATTGTCCTTTCAAATCCTATACACCAAGCCAAACAGTCGATAAGAAATACTCGCAACAAAACTAATCTCAACATTACAACTTTTAGCATTATTAACACACCCAGTTTAATACTATTCTTATATATGGTACCAAACGATACCTAAAAGGTGTTCAGATGAGAGAATTACAGCTTTTTGGATGGTTGTTACATGTTGTATTGTATCATATTGTTACATTAGATTGTTACTTAAATCTGTCGTTACGTAACGACGAAAAGTGTCACTTTATGGAACGCCCAATTTAGTGTGGTCGCGTCATTACCTTATTAATTTTTTCCTCTCATCTTGCCCTTTCATATAATTAAATGTAAAGACCCGGCCGGTTGTTTTGAGAGTTATAGACATGATCCCCTATTTAGTGCATTCCCCGCATTTGTTTCAGCTTATGTGACTTGCTGGGAGGTTTCGTTTTCGGTTTTTGGAGCGTTTTGGAACACTTAGTCCCTAGACGGAAGTTTAAGCCTTAGGATTTTGGCCGTAGTTGGAGCTGTGTGAAGACGACTCCGAAATAGAGTTTCGTCGGTTATGTTAGCTCTGTTGGGTGATTTTGGACTTAGGGGCGTGTCAGGATTGTGTTTTGGAGGTCTGTAGCTTATTTAGGCTTGAAATGGCTAAAGTAGATTTTTTTGGAGATTTTGACCGGTAGTGGACTTTTTAATATCAGGGTCGGATTCTGATTCCAGAAGTTGGAGTAGGTCCATAATGTTGAATATGACTTGTGCGCAAATTTGAGGTCAATCGGACGTGGTTTGATAGGTTTTGGTATCGGTTGTGGAAATTTGAAGTTTCAAGTTCTTTAAGTTTGAATTGGTGGGTGATTCGTGATTTTAGCGTTGTTTGATGTTGAGTGCTCGAATAAGTTCGTATGGTGTTTTAGGATTAGTTGGTATGTTTGGTTGAGGTGCCGGAGGCCTCGGGTGAGTTTTGGATGCTTAACGGATCATTTTTGGACTTTGGAAGATAGCAGATTTCTGGTGTTTTCTGTTGCTGGTTTCCTTCTTCGGGTTTGCGAGGGGTGTTCCGCGTTCGCGAGAGGATCTGAGGCAGGTGAAATTTTTCTGCTTCGTGTTCGCGATGTTGGTCCCGCGTTCGCGAAGCTCTGAGGTCATATGTCTACGCGTTCGCGAAGAGGGTACCACATTAGCGTAGAGGAGGTTGGTCCATTGGGTCCCCAGGCCTTTTGCCTACGCGTTCACGAAGCTGGTTCCGCGTCCGCGTAGGGTTGAGCTGAGTGGTCTTTGCGTTCGCGATGAAGTATTTCTGGGCCAAAGCGAGTTGTGCTTCGCGAATGCGGGGGTCCTTCCACGTTCACGAAGAAGGGAACACTTGGGCAGATTGAAAAGTTCAAAATCGAGGGTTTATGTCATTTTTCACCATTTGGACTTGAGAGCTCGGAATTAGGTGATTTTTGGAGAGATTTTCACGTGGGTGTTTGGGGTAAGTGATTCTTACCTAGTTTTGGTTAATCCCCATGATTATGACTTTAATTTCATCATTAAATTAGTAATTTGGGGTGAAAAATTAGGGGGAAATTGAGAAAAGTTCTTAGGCCAAATTTTGGGGTTTTGATCGAGATTTTGGTATCGGATTTGGGTAATTTTTGTATGAGTGAACTCGTGAATGAATGGGTGTTCATATTTTGTGACTTTTACCCGATTCCGAGACTTGGACCCAGGGAGACTTTTTAGGGCGATTTTTCAATTTCTTGCCTTAGCTTTGATTTCATTAGCTAGATTAGTTTCTTGTAGTTATATTTATGATATGTAATTGATTTTGGCTAGATTTGGGCCGTTCGGAGTCGGATATTCGTGGATAGGGCATTATTATCGAGTGATTGAGCTTGATTCGAAGTAAGTGGCTTGCCTAACTTTGTGGGATGGAGGGGGGGGCTCCCCTTAGGATTTGGTATTGTTTTGATATGTGAGTGACGAGTACCTACACGGGCTATTTGTTGAAAAATCTAATTTTTACTGAGTAATAACCTGTTTCTTCTTATTTGAGTTTTATTAGCATGTGGAATTATCCTGTTTAGCTTAGAATATCATGTCTACGTGTCTTAAATGCTTACCTGAACTCTGTGCAGCATGCCTTGTGAATTTTCCTACTTTTCTCTTGATTTGTACTTAGTCTAAACTGTAGGATCTCTGCTATAATTGCTATTGTTATTATTTGAGCTGCATATATACTTTGGGACTACGGAACGGTATTCCGGATCCCCCTGCACATTTACTTTGGGACTACGGGACGGTATCCCGGGAGATTCCCCTGAATATTTACTTTGGGACTATGGAACGATATTCCGAGATCCACCTGCACATTTTACGTTTGGGACTACGAGATGGTATCTCGGGAGATCCCGTGTTATTATTTTGTGTACTGTATTGTTATCCTTTCTGTGATTTTCCTTCATTTAAATTTCAGTCTTTATTTTACTGCGATACTTTTGTTCTAACTTAATTTAAATATATA